GAATCAAAAGTGATCGTCTGTTCACTTGCTTATTGGTTCAATCTACACAGCCTAGACTAACCTGCAAAGATTGAATCAATTCAGCCTTGGGCGTTTCGACTGTCTGTACTTAGCCCTTGTTATTTTGGGACTTTCAGAACCAAGACCCAAGTTGCAGTTCAAGCCCATCTCTTCTGCAATGTAAAGAATTCACACAAGCTATTTTTGTGAGCGTACATCTAAGTACCAAGCAGAGGGTTATTTAAAGCATTGATGTCACACCTCTACACATGTAAATTATTTTTAAACTACTGTATAGCAAAAAGAAAAGCACAAAAGTCAGCTAGAGTTAAGTAGCTATAATTATCTTCCAAAGAAACAGTATCAGAACTAAAAAGTGTGTCATTGTACAAAGTTATTCAAAAAAAAGTGTGTCATTGTACATAGAAATTTTCAGTATTTCTAAAAATATACCAAAAACATGCATTTGAAAAAGTAAATGTAAGAAGTAACAAGCATGCCGGTAACCACATCTGAAGAAAGGCTCAGTACAGCAATATTATTCTCTCCAACTGTTTTAATTGGAGCATATTAGTTCAAGGGCCCCTGCCCAAAATGAATTTAGGATTGTAGTTCAAGTCACAGGTCAGTACAACCACTTTGACTCTAAGGTTCAAACTTTCTCCTTAACAGCAAAGGGTTAAGCATGCTTTTCAAACATGCTGTGGTGTGACATGACATGACCTCCTGCCAAATAGCAGATCAACAGCTCGCTTGAACTACCACAGCAAGAATAGTTCGAACTCTTCCAGATTTGATGCACCTGTAATGCTATGCATCACCTCACCAAACCTGGTCATGGTGCCTGTGTGTAGTGAAGTCCCGTTTTTCAACTAAAATCCTCACAAAGACCAGTGTAGACACCTCAGTTTGCTTCCTACACATCAGAGTGACAGGGCTTTGCACATAGCTCCTTCCAAAAACTGAAGGCATGACTGAAAAAGAAGTAAGCAGATGGCTTTTTCCTCCTTCCCATTTCTCTCATAAATGCTCTCCATGTCTTGCAACTCATACCCACTTCCCCACTTACTTGTCAAATGCTGATGTTTAAAACCAGACATGAGGGAGAAGACAGGTCTCGCCCGTGAATTGCAGATAAGCTTACATGGTTGAAATTATGAGTCATTCTTATTTTCATAGCTACCTAGCATATTGAATATGTTAAACATATGACAGAACGTAAGAATAATTTAGCCATGCAGGACATCTAAGGTACAATTGCTGCAGAGATTGTAAATGCTTGATATTAATCTCAGGCATCATCATGTATGAATGTAATTTATTTGCTTTGAATTAGTATCCTAATGCCAAGATTCAATTAAATGCCATTGAAAGCTAAATGTTAAAAAAGAGAAGAAAAGAATGTCTTTCCTCAGAAACCTTGCAGTCAGAGCTTCTGGTAGCAGACAGGAGCCATTCTTATTGGCGCACCCCTGTATGTTTTTGATAGCTCCACTATAGCAGAGTAGCCATAATGCAAAGTGCATTCTAGGCTGGCACCAGTCACTGAATAGAAAGCAGCAAGCTGCTGAAGGCACAGGCCTTCTCTGTTGTCCAGCTGGTGGCAGAAGCTTTTCTCTTCTTGGGTAAGGTGGAATAACTGCCTGCACAGCAAGCAGTTCTGCCACCACAGAGGGGCCTTGAGTGTGCACGGGCGCTCAAAGTGCAAGACTTCGAAGTGTAGACTGGACCAAAGTCATCCCAGTTTGTCTTCCGTCCTTACTTACATCCTTCCCCTCCATTACCTCCAACATCTACAATGAAATCTCCCAAATCTTCAATTCACTCATTCTGAATGTCCCAAGTGGCCTTTACCTCAGCCAGTGTCATGGGCCAGCATATTGATATGCTGTCGTTTGCAAACTGTGTTAATGGATTTTTTCAGAACACAGTCAAACAGAAGGCAGAATGGTCAAGCTGCTGCGACTGAATTTCCTGATCCAAGCCATTTACATTCGCATTTGGTGTTTGATTGTGTACAGTCTGCATAGAATTACTTCTTTATTTTTTAATTACGCTTCTGGGACGGCAGAAAGAGTTTGGTCTATTGCATAGGTCAGACTTGCAATTGAGCGAGAGCCACTCACAGCTTGTAATTCTTTATTGCACAAAATTAATACACAGTTTTACTCATGGACTGCAAAAAACACATCCTGCTGACAGATGTTAGACAAAGGCCATTGTGGAAATGGGATACTCTGCATAGTTTGTCGCCTTCTCACGGGAATCATTTTCTTTACAGTTTAATCAGAACTTGCAACATGAGCTTGCTTAACAGTATTTCAAACCCAAAAGGAACTCACATTGGCCTTTTTTGTATGCCATGTCTGAGAAATAAGTCATCACAAACTGTGTTTAGAGTAAGGAGTAAAAAATGCTGTTACCAAATTGCATTAGTCAGGGCACAAGTTACCACAATCCACTCAAAAGTGAGATGTGTACATAAAATTTAGAGATAGTTTGCAAACAGATCACTGATTTTGATAAGAGATTAACCCTGTTCAAGCCCTTTACTGGTAAAGAAAAGGGCTACTAGAATAGAATGCTAATAAAATGCTATTACAACATTAATTAGTTTTACTAAGAGGCTAGATTATGGGTTTGTATAAAATGGTTAGGATAGGGATGAGATCCTGTCTCAGGCAGGGGGTTGGACTAGATGAGCTATGCACGTTTCTTCCAGCACTACTTCTATATGATTCTAGGAGTTGTATGAATTTCCAAATTAGCCTAAATTTGCTTGGATATAAAACAAATGATTTGCCCTTCAAGTGAATAAAACATGCAGTATAGAAATGCTATTGCAGTATAACACGGTACTTTGCTGGGTGCTTCAGCTTGAACTGTTGGGACAGCTATAGAAAAATCTCCAGTGTAGCTGGACCCTGCAGTACTAAGCACATTTTTGACCAAATAGATGAAGAGTAGCTTTGAATTTAAGAGGTTAATTTTAATGAGTAAGAGAGAAGGGTAGACAGGTAAGAGGAGCAAGGAAATGAAACAAGAAGCCGCCAGAGAGAGAGAGAGATTGGGAACTGCTGTTCCACAAAGTGTAGCTCTCAGCTTCGATGAGAGAAAGACGTTTCTTCTGCAGTGGATGAAGCAGCCCATGGGAGAGTATTGTGCCCCCCAGGAGATGGAGTCCCTCTCCTCTCCCTCCATTATCGCTGCATTGTCTTTTGGAAACTCAGCACTCATTCGCTGGCAATTTCTTTCTAGGGCTGAGACAGCTACATGTTCTCACGTAGCCTATTTAGATTCTTCTCTCAAAGACGCAAGCCATACAGCTTCTGTATTAAGGAAAAAGGTATCAATTTCTGCTTTCAATGAAGTTATTCCTCATTTACGTTTTTGAAAGAGCTGCCCATGGTCAGCCAAATGACAAGCCTCTGGTTACAAAGAAGTCACAGGTGGTCCACCCTGAGCATGCTCCAATCACTCTCAATTTCTTCATACCAAATGCGCTTCCTTCAGAGCAACTGAGCATGCTCCACTATTGGGTTACAAGGGCTGAGAACATTTTCCCTCGAGTTAGGAGGCCCTCCTCGGCCACTGAAACAGAGTGGGGAGACGCTCTCTTGTCCTCTAGCTGCTCAGCTTTCTCCTCTGTGCCCAAAAGCTTGTCTGACATTTTTCCCAACTATACAGTTGGTTTAATAAGAGATGCCACACAAAGACATTGTTTTTCACATATTTCCAGGACTGACACAGCTACAACACTCCAAGCTTATAGGATGCAAGGAAGTTCTGGGCTGATGCACTGTACATGCTGAGCCCAGACCCAGAAGCAGCACAGCCACAGTCATGGCAGCAGAGCTCACTGATCTGTGTGTGGTGGTGCACTAACATGGCCCTGTGGCTTCTGATCCAGGAGCCAGCCAGATTGCACCTTCAGTGACCACGCAACCTACGTGACTCCACATTTAAGGCTCTGCCCAGAATACAGCCCATTACTCTCAAATCTCAGTGCTCCTCTGCTGTCTTGCAAACAGATGTGCATCTTTCCGATACAGCATATATCTCCGTCCCCCTCTGATGGCAGCTCCACACAGAAGATAATAGCCAACTACTGCTGCCATTTATAACTCAGGTAGTAGAGGTCTGTAAAAGGGATCCAAAGATCTTGCCAACCTAGATGATGACACATGAGGATCATGCTACTCCCCACAATGACTTTTTATGCATAGTTTTGTTTCAATTAAGCTCTTAATTGAAGAACGAGAGTTTGGGTAATGAACAAAGCTGTTCTCTGCAGCAGCATCTGTTGCAAAAAATTGGAAGGTACACAGCACATGAACCTGAGACTCATAGGAAAGGAAAGGTCTGGTCTTATGGGAACCTACCCTGAGAAATGGATTCTTTCCTTGCCTTGGACTGAGTTCCTCAACAACGTTGAGCAAGTCACACTCTAAAAGCCAGTTCCAGTTCCCTCCTTAAACCCCAGCTGATCTTCAGAAGTTTCTCTTCCTGCATACTCCTGATTCCCCCTGCTTCCTCATACTAGACTCCTTGTGTAGCCAAGTCCCAGCCTCCTCTCCTCCCACACAGCTCATGTGATCTTGCCAGCTCCCCATGATTTCCATCCCAGAATCTGTGGGGTAAGCAGCTTATGGCCCACAGGCTGGATCCAATGGCTCCGCAGGCCAGATGCACTCTGAAAACAAAGGGGCTGTGGGGGGGGTAGTTGCCTATACTGCAGCTGGAAGCAGCAGCAGCAGCAGCAGCAGCAGCAGGGGTGGCCAGGTCCTAGCGCTGGCCTGCCTTCAACCTGAACTGGGTAATTCTGCCCACCACTAGAAAAATGTTGCTGACCCCTGGTCTAACCAGTCCCACACTCCCTTCCTGTCCCCCCAGATCCCAATTTTCTTGCTTAACCAAACTAGTCCCAAGCTTCCCCTACCTTGGCTCCTTGGCCACCCCCCTCCCACCTCCACCCCAATCTACTTCTCTCCGCCTCAACGAAGATTCCCTCTTCTACACTGCCATGCTGCCAGCAGAGAGGTCACTGAAAGCACAGAAGACAGGCTCCTTGCTCTCAGGTCCTGTGCCTGATCCTACCTTACTCGGAAGCAGTAAAGGAAAAGCCATTTCAGAGAAAGTCTTTCTGTGCCCTGGAATGGGACATATGATGCTCAGTCGGCCCCACGGCGTTGTTGCATGAACAGCCCAGCACTGTTGGGGTGCAAATGGATGCCTGCTCAGTCACTCAGAGGATAGCCTGTGTATACTTGTCACACTAGGGGCGGAGGGCCTCAAACATGCTCAATGTGGATGACATCTGCAGAGATGAGTAGCCGTGACGCTCTTGCGAATCTCCGCTGTATGAAACAATTCTTCAAAGACTTTTCATCCTGGGAGAATCTGGCCATTACAAAGGCCTGCCCCGTGCACTCTCACATGACAACAGCTTCACCATATAAAAACAATCGTTCCCTGCCCCCAGTAAATAATTTTCTGGTTTGATCTAATTTTGCAAATTATTTCTTAGCTCAGACACTAAGAAATAATTTCTTACAAGTGAAAAGCAGAAGTCTCTTGCTGAAAGAAATTCTGTACCCCTTACTAGGATTGGATAATACTCACTGCAAGGAGACAGTTTGTTTTAGTAGTTAACACACAGACTGCATCTGGGTTGTGTTCAGTTACTGACTGCGCTCACACCTCATGAAAACCTGAGCAAATCTTTCAGTCTTTCCTATGCTTCAACTTCTCCTATTTGTAGAACGGAAGTCTTACTAACCGTACTTTCCAGGATCCTCAGGAGAGCCCTTTGAGAAAAAAAAGCTTGAAGTACAAGATATTATTAAATCCCCTTGTTTTATCAGGCTCGTTTCAGAGCAAGGAAAAAGAGTTCAACATGGGTAGTATGGTGTGAGCAAAGCTGATTTAATAGGTACAAATACAACGTTAAAATTAAGCTGGTGGTGTGGAAATTCCTTTTAACTGACAAATTAAGTTGAATGACAAGCATGAGTTTGTGCAGTAACGTATCACGCAGAGTGTAAGTGAAGTGTGAGTGGTATAAAGCACAGTTGGAACAAATTAGATTAGCTTTCCCATGTCGCATATTATTTACCCTGAAGAACCAAAATAGCTTTGGTATGAAATGTTAAACCCAATTTCCTGCTTTAGTCCAACACAGGAAACCCCCTGCCATTTAGCTGGAGTTTCTTACTGGAATGGCACATTTTCATTAAAGCAAGAGTTTTGCTCTCTTTAACCAACAGAATATCCTCTTCCCCCACTTTTCAAATGTAAAGTGAGGCTGGGATGAATTAGAGGGCAAGAAACAAGAAAATAAGGGCAATGTAAATATGTAAATATATTAACAGGAACCTTCCTAGGAAACTATTACACAAACATCATGCCACAAAGGCAGTAATTCCCACACAGCAACACTCTGTTTGTAATTGCTGGTGACAGGCCCACACAGGGACTTAATTCACCTTCAATCCTACCCCAATTCCACAGCATGTAAACTCTACAGCATGCCATTTATCTTTCATGCACAGCAATATTGACACACTCCATCATAATCCACCTCGGTAGTGCTGTGCCGCATTAATGCTTTTAAAGTATTTGAACATCTTTTGATTCTTATCAAGACAGGTGTTTGCAGCAACAAGGAAGTGTCTGCTAGATACAGCCATGGTTTGATAGCAGCATCAACATCCAGATGCTGGATCTTAACCACAGAGAGGTGTGCCTTGGGATCCATTCCCATTCTTCCTTTAGATCAAGTATCCCAACTATGTGGAACTCACATTCAGTCAATAGGGTTTTCTTCTCAGATTGCTAAATATGTATTTAATTTCTGGGACCAGCAAGAAAAAGGTAAGTTTCACAAAAACAAAAAATTACCAGCATGTAGAACAGATCCACGATGGCAAGCATCTATGACATGCTGCAAATCTAGTACTGTATGATCAATTCAGGCATAAAACAGGTTTCTCTTTCACCTTGCATGAAAGTTGTGGTCATGCAAGGGCACCCATGCCAGCTTATCAAGAGATCTTGAGGTTTTGCACTGGCAGCACACTTATTCACAGTAACAGAGAGCCCAGCACTGAAGTCAGCAGTGAAGTGAGTTGCTATTGTGCTAAACACAAATGCAAGAAATGGAAATGCACTGTCATTAACACAGTACCATGATTTTTGCAATGTTATTTATTGCACTGGAATTTATACTGCTTCCTGAAATGAGTTTTCAACCTGTCACAGACCTGTTGCTTTCATCTGTATTGGCAGTGTTTTTTCTGCCATCTTTATTGCCATTCCAGTCGTCAGAGTCATCACCTTAGACACTAGACACCCATGACAAATTATTAAAAAGCAATTTACCAAAGACACTGCAAACTAACAGACTCTCTCTGCACAAAGGAGTGCTTAAAAAGCTGAGGCTTTTCCCCCTTCTCAGTTCCAATAAAACCCTAATTCCTCAGCAAACCTGTCATCCTAGAAGGACTGCCTCTCTTTGGGGTTTTTATGTTATATTTTCACAGCTTTGAAGTCCAATCTAACATTTACAAAGTATTCTTTACTTTTACATTTCTACCACGTATTTTGAGCTTGGATTATTTAAAGTTCACACAATTTTTTCAAGTATTGTTTTGGTATCTAAATATACTGATCTTCCCCAGGATTTCTTCTGTTTACCTCCAGTAATCCCCTTGCCCTCCCAAGAATTTTCTGTGGGCATGATTTTCTTGTTGTGCGTCTAAACACGTTACCTAGGAAGTTGACGTTTAGTTCTTAAGAGGCAGGTGACATCTTCCTGCAGCTGTCTTTTTGCACTTTTGTATTTTGTCCTCTCTCTCTGTAGAATGCAACTGTTGCCCACATTTTTCATTCTTTACTAATACCCAACATAAGGGCATCATATTTTGGTCAGTAAGATTAATATTGTGGCAGACTCTTTGTGTAACTCATTAAAACTGTGGTTAAAAGACAAGATTGTTGCCTATAAAGGAATGCTAACTTGTGTTTGGCCTCACATTAGCACAAATTGTTTTAATGCAATTAAGATTCAACGAAACACTCAAGGGAATTGCATTCGTTTTTTTGCTTTGCCTGCTTGGCAGTTTCCCCGAGGAAGACCTACAATTCTGCACCAGGCAGGAAGGCTGAGTTAGAAATTAATATTCTTTGACTTCAGTATTTTGGAGATTCTAAAAATCAGAACCAGGAATTGGCTGGCATGAAGAACAGCAAATGCCCTTTGGTCCATTATAGAGTAAAACCAGCGCAAAACATTTAACTTACAACATATCCCTGGCTTCTATTGATTACAGGGAGAGGAAGAATTGCATGTCTTCCTACTCTGTGAACATACAGGTCACGTTTCAACAGCCCCAACAAGAATCCATCTTACTAGAAAAGAAAATGGCAGATGTTCAACTTCACTACAGAAGACACATGCCAAGCAAGCACACCCACGGACCAGGGCAAAGCACCAGCTTTTTGTCCACTTTAGTAACTACCTCCTTCACTGAAACTTGACAGGCCCTTACTTCAGTGGATCTCTGCCATTTGCATGGCTCTAGTTGACCACACTTTCATAATAGTAATCCCATTTGTTCAAGAACTGGATTCTCTTTTATGCATCTTCTGGTATCTGTGCTACTTGAGTCTGATTGATTTGCATTTTCAAACTTTTCACTGCCTTTTTTTTTTTTTTAAATGAAAGCAGAGATTCTCATGAGGTCAGCTGGCTCCAAGAGTTGGGGGTTATAGAGAGAGAGAGAGAGCGAGCAAAAACACACCCTTTTCAGCAAATACTGTTGAATTCTCAATAACGATGTTTGGTAACCTTGCTTTTTCTCTAAGCTTGTGCGCAAACCTTGACTCTCCACAATCAGAAAATATTCAAAATGCTTTCCACATATAATAGGTGTCATTTTGACTTTATTTAAGGAAAAATGGGGAAAAACAGTAATTTCCATAATACACAGAAGACAAGTTAGATAGCACTGCAAAAAAAAGGCTGAGTGTTTACTTGTCACCAGTCTGCTTTGCAGCTCTACGATTAGTAATTTTAATGCAGTTTGTCATTGTATTATTGTTTAGCATCTTTATAAATCAGCAGAGTTTGGGGTTATAAATCACAAAAAAGTGTACTAGTACTAATATGAAAAACTAAAAAAAATCCACAAAAATCACTTTCAAATAAACCATAAATATGTGATGCACATTAGTGTAACAAAACCATTTTTGTAAACATTTTCTCCAACATAACATGTGCATAAGATAAAAAATAAAACACTGCAGTCATACAGTTAGGGTTACTTTGACTTAAAAGATACAGAAAATTATTACTTAAAGCTTAAAACTAAATCTAGGAGCCTTTTTTTCCCTTTGCTTACAAAAGCACTGTTTAAAAGAGTTCAGCATTTTATATGTAGTGGTTTTGTAACACTGATTTTAAACTTGTAGATTTGCCACCGCGGCTCTTCTGTGGAGGAGGAAGCTGCCATCCAGCATCTCCAGCAAAGGAGTTTCCCTCCAGAACCATCAGAACTTCCAACAGCATGTATCCTTAACCTGGGAATCCCTATAGCATCGCAACATTTTCACCAACAAGAACAGAATCAGTTTCCAAGGACTAAATCCATTTTTACCACACAGCGCTGCAAGAATTAAACCATGCAGGATGACACTGGATTGATGTGTTCCAGCACACTATCCTACAGGGCCATTGTGTCATTGCACCCTATGAGCACATTGGTCCTCTGAGTCCCCTTAGATCTTCGTAATACAAAGAAGCAATCGCTCTTCGGGCTGATTGCAATTTAGATACAAAACAAATGCATCCCTCATCCTCGACCTTCAGTGCTATCCAAAAGTCAAACAATTAAAAAAAATATTTTTAAGTACTCTTCTGCCAGCAAATGTAAGGCTTTCTTGGTGTGTGT